TTTTTTTTTTTTTTTTTTTTTTTTTTTTCTCTTCCTTCCGAATTTCATCTCAATTTCGATTTCCTCTTTGCATTTCTTCTTCGAAAGTTGATATTTGCTTGCAAGATTTTGGGGATTGATTGAAATAATCCTATTGTGATCGATGAGGCCGATACGACTGCCGGAGCCACCGAGCCCTACTATGGTTAAGGCAGATATATTTGAAGGCGGGGTTTATGGCGTTATTAGGCGGGCGATTGTCATCGGTAATGGGTCTTCCGGTTCTGAGAATCAGTGTATCGGTTTGGTTCAGGCGCTTGGCCTGGCTGACAAGCATGTGCTCTATGTAAGTTCTGCGAATTCATCTTTTTCGAGGGTTGGAAGTGGTCTAGTTGTTTTGGTAATTGAAGTTATTGAAGTTAACTGTTTAATTGAAGCTCTATGTATTGCTTGTGGAATGCGTCGTTTTTTTTTTTTTGTTGTTGTTACGTGCACTGCGTTACTTTGCATATGGGACTGGTTGTTATGTTAATCTAATAGTAAGAAACAACTTCTGTATTTCCAGGTTTGATATCCTTAGTAAATCCTAAAACTAGAACTGCTCATGACCTTTTTTTTTTCAGTATTTGAAGGCTTGTATAGTGAAATCCCGAGACTAACGATTCTTATCTTATATGTGCTCCCCTCAAATGCAGCGAGTTTCGAGGCCTAGAGGAGGAATAAATGAATGGCTCCACTGGCTTCCCGTTTCTCTTCACAAACGATTAGATTATATCATGATCCAGATAGGTGTTTACACTCGGATTTTGTTGCGATCCAAAAGGACAAAACTTGTGCCTCTATCTTCAGAAAATGGTGGAAGCATGGGCTTGTCATGCATTCTAGAAGCTGACTTGAAGCATATTGTATCGATGGCTAAGGAGACTTATGAAAAGTAAATTCGTTTCCGGAATATTTTTATGGGAAATTTGATTATTGGACTTGATTTATGATGTGTGTTTGTATAATTTCCAGGGATGGACCTTTATTGGTGGTTGCATCTGGTAGGGATACCATAACTATTGCAAGTTCCATCAGACGCATGGCAAAAGAGAATGTTTTTGTGGTGCAAGTATGATAACTATCTTTCTTTGTTCTATTTCATATGTTACTTGTATTTGGCTAAGGGATATGTTTGATGATCATTATGGAAGTTGAAAAGTTCTTTCACAAGCTACTTCTTTTTGCAATTCTATCGAGTATTTAGTCGGAGAGGAGAAACAGGGTTTCTAGAGGAGTCCTGGAAGGAGGTTTGGAGTTTGACACGTTTCAATTGCTCCCTTTGGATGTTTTTGACTAATACCTTTCATAATTATCCTTTCCCCCCCATCTTTTTGAGACTATTTTTGTCAGTATTTTCCAGCTTTCTTAATCTGGGCTGTATTGTGTGTACATCTCATGTTGTTTCTTTTATTTAACTTATCTGAAGTTGGATTCTCCATTAAAAACAATAAATTATGAAGATGGATGATAATGGCCATAAGGGGAATGTCATCCTAGTAGGGGTGTAGGGGTGAATTGATTGGGATGAAAAGTTTCTTGGCATGAGATGCCGGTCAGTTTTCTTGGAAATCCTTCAACTTAACCATTTTAGGCTTTTTAGCAACAGTAGCCTTAAGTGAGAGGGTGAGAAGACTTTTGACTAACCCTCTTAGAGGAGGAGTTTATTCTTTTTGTGTGAAATTATGTACATTGCCCTTGCATTGGAACATAAGAGAAAGAGCTTATTAAGTAAACTTGAAAGTACTGTAATTGTGTTAAAAGTTTTTTCACATGAAGAAAAACCTATTATTCTCTCTCTCTGTATGTCCTTAAAGGGGGAATCAAGTTTCTTCTTTATTTGAAATTTTGCCCCATTTTTTTTTTTTGTCAATCACCCCTTGCTCTTGTTTCATGTTCTCATGCTTTGGAGGTTGGTAGTTAAGATTATTCTATTATTGAGGAGTTTGTGCATGTAATTGAAGGCTGAACTTTGTATGACATTATATTTGTTGAGAGTCTTGATAGGATTGTTAGGAGATATTTCCATGATGATTGGTACAAAGTTCTTGCTCTTTAGTTATGTGAGTGTGGATAATTTTCTAGCCGTTAGGGCGATGCTTAATTGTGTTGACAAGTATGAAGCTAGGTTATTGAGTATTGATTGTGAAGAAGAGTTGGCATTTACTCTTTGTTTCTTGTGGAAGTTCAAGTGGAGGTGTGGTCTAAACATCAGAAGGCCTTGTTATGTATGTTTATGAAGATACATTAGGACTAGGAACCTCCAACTTTGGATTGCTTCACATTTGTTAGAGATAGGCATGGGTCTTTTGGCAAGTGGCTTTGAAGTAAGCTCCATAACATGGAGCCATGTATCATGGTGAAGTTGAACAATAACTATTTTAAGTTTTTCCCTTTCTAGGTTAAGGCCTTTCTGCTCTTAAATCTTTTGTATGACGTTTGTTATTGTTAGCATGGGTCAAGTCAATGACTCTTTTTTCTTCATGTTTGTTTTTTTTTTTGGTCTTTGTTTAATGGCTTTAGAAGTTTGAAAGGAGCTTTTTGTCTCCACCTCTGTGAGTGCAAGGAGTCTTAATCATACAAAGCCTTTATTTCAACTTCTTCTTGAAAACATATAACCAAGTGGGACCCGCCTCAAAAACTCAGTTAGCTAGTAGAATGTTTTTCCCAAGATGTACATTAAAGTCACTAGAGAAATGTGACTTAGTCCTCTAGGTATTTATACTCTTGATTCTTGGTGAATATTGTTGCCTGTAATTTAGTATTGTTCCTTCATTTTCTTAGCTTTTGGCGAGGAGCAAAACTTGTATTAAAATTTAGTTTGAGGTGAATAAGGGTCTTCCNAAAAGAAGGAAAAAAAAAAAAAAAAAAAAAAAAAAAAAAAAAAAAAAAAAAAAAAAAAAGAAGAAAGAAGAAAGAAAGAAAGAAAGAAAAAAAAAGACGCCAATGGGCATAACTGAAGAGACTTGTGTCTGAAAAAAGGGCTGCTTTGTTAGTATATAAGATGATTGTAGGTGCGATGGTTGAAGATAGAGAAATGGTCAAACAGCTTGTGAATCCTCGGAGCTTTTGGATTTTATTGGAACAAAACTAGATATTTGGTTCTCCAAAGACTGAACAAATGTTTTTCACATGCATACCCATGCATATATTTTTCTGGGGAGGTGGGAGCACTTGTGTTGGAGTGTTTCATGGAGTTCATTTGTTACTTGTGAACTGGCAAAAAGAAACTAATGAGAAGTTGGACCGAGCCTAAGTTACAAAAGTTTGTGCCAGCCTTTAAAACTTTGGAGATATGAAGGGTTTTTTCTATCAAGCTCACACAAAGATTTGAATACGTGACCTCCGGTGGGTAGGTGTTACTTGATCAAGCCTCAGTTATTGATATTCAAGTCTCTAGTGGAACGAGCCTTGAGAAAGGAGGACCCACAAGAAGCAACCATTTGAACTGTTTGTATGGAATGTTTATTAAGGAAGAAGCTAGATGGAAGATCAATTGTGGGCTGGAATTGAATGGAGACAATTGGAAGGAAACTGAACATAATAACAAGGAAATGTTGGAAGGCATATTAAAATGTAAGATGTCATTAATGAGGCTCTCAATTTTCAAGTTGGTAATGGTTTTAACATCAGATTTTGGGATCAGGCATTTATACAGAAAAATCAGCTTTCTTTAACCTATTTAACTGACCTTATTCTGCTGATAAAGTTGATTTGGAATGGCAGAAGCCCAAAGAATGTAAAATGTTTCTCTGGTCTATGGCTTACAGAAGCCCAAAGAATGTAAAATGTTTCTCTGGTCTATGGCTTACAGAAGCTTCAATACTGATGATAAGCTGTAATGGAAGTTTTCTCTTGGGCTCTTTTCATATCTACCTGTAGATCGTGTTTAAGAGACAAAGAATCACTAGGTCATCTGTTTTTACACTGCCCATTTACGCCTAAAACTTTGACACTTTATTTGTGGAAACATGGGGGTATCGCATACCTGTCTTGGAAAATGGATGACTGGCTTATAAAAGACTTAAATGCATGGAATTTTAGGGGCAAAGCAAAGGTTTTGTGGAACCCTGCAACCAGAGCACTTTTGTGGCACATTCTGGAAGGACAAGAAAGATAAACTTTTTTCTTTTTTTTTTTTTCGATAAGAAAATTCAAAAGATTATATTCCAAAAGAACATAAACAACCTAAGGGTGGGGTTGAGGGAACCACCCGAACAAAGCTATAGAGTGAGTCTTCCAATCGCTAATAATCATCAAGAGGTCATTTACAAAAGAATTTCTTGTGTCCAGATATCTACCAAGACACCATATTTTGTAGAAGATTACAAAAAGTCATAAAACTATAAGAGTTAGAAGACTTATCGTCAAAGTATCTAGCGTTCCTATTCTTCCAAATGTGCCACAAAATAGCTCTAAAGATGCAACTACCCACCGCCTTAGCTTTCCTTTTCAAATTCCACTCAAGAAAACCTTTCATCAACCAATCATCAATTTCTTACAAAATGATAATCCTAAACTTACAAAATGATAATCCTAAACTTTCAGCTGAGAAGTTCTACGACCTATAAGCGAAATTGCAATGGAGGAAGAGGTGATCAATGTCTTCTGCCTCTTTCAAGCACATTCGACAACTAGAGGGCGACAAAGACCACCTTCTAATTTCCTTTGGATTCTGTCATTGGTATTTAAACTCCTACGGGCCAAAGACCAAATGTAGGGTTTTTATGCTTTTAAACTGTCCCAGTCAGGGATAAATTGACCTTGGAGGTTTCAGACGCAAGACTCTAAAAAGCAGACTTACAAGAGTATACAGGAGCCTTCAAGTGACCACAAAATACGATTTTATGCCTCTCCCATCTGCACCGAGCTCAACTTTTCTACTAGGGCCACCTAACTACGTAATTTTCTATCAAAGAGCCTTCTTCTCAAGCCCCAATCCTAGGTTTGGTTATTATCATCCCAACAATCAGCAATTAAGGCTTCCTTTTTGCAAGAGACAACTTAAATACTCGGGAAGCAAGTCTTCATAGGGAGATCTCAGTCCAAATGTCTTCTCAGAATCTAAAGTTTTTACCACAACCAGCTTTAAAAATCAATTTCTTAAAAATCATGCAAAATGCTCAAAGGAGGAGGTATTTATTTGCAATATCAGCTCACATTCTATTTCCTTTCTTCTTCTTGAAGTCAATAGTCATCCAACCTTGGGGGAGACCCCATAAATGCTAGCAATGAGTTTCTTCCAAACCCAAAGAATGATAGACTTTTGAAGATAAAAGTTTTTAGATTTCAATTATTTTTGTACTTTTGACTCAACTAGACTTCTTGGTATTGTTCTTCTAATTCAATTTTCTTTTATAATTCAATTTTTTGACACAACACGACTTCTTGGTTTATTGAGTTTCATTATCTCTTATGGGTTTTTTTTTTTTTTTTTTTGCATCGCTTCCCATTTGTATATTCGTAATAAAAGATGTGCTTTGTGCTATTACAAATTTCTATGAAGTCAGGCTTGAAGCACACTCTCGCATTATTGAACATGTCCAGATTGAAAAAACTTCGAAGTTTGCATAGTTTTTAATGTAGTTGCACAAGTTGCTCATTTTTTATTTTTGTGTATTTTTTTATTCATGGATATGTTTTGTAAGGCAAAACTTAAGTTTTGAGTTCTTATATATATTTTTTCTTTTGGGGTAAGATTCAACATCCAAGGTTGCATTTGAATCGGTTTGATATGGTCATCACCCCTCATCATGATTATTATCCTTTAACTCCTCAAGCACAAGAGCAAGTTCCTCGATTTATAAGGAAGTGGATAACTCCACGCGAACCTCCAGATCAGCATGTGGTAAGTGTGCTGACCATAAATATCTCTTATTTTTTTCAAAATCAATGTTTAGGCTTATAATGTCATGCTCCCTTCTCTCCATTGACAAAATCAGTCTGTTCTAAAATTTTCAAAAATTAGGTCTTGACTGTTGGAGCCCTGCATCGGATTGATTTTGCTACATTACGTAGTGCAGCTAGTGCATGGCATGATGCATTTGCTCCTCTTCCAAAACCCTTATTGGTGGTCAATATTGGAGGGCCTACAAGTGAGTTTTTCTTAATCTTGGGCCGTCATACTTGGTCAATCAAATTTTCCGTTATTCCTGATTCTCTTTTTTTTTTAAAACATCAACTATACCTTGTTTACAATTATTACTTTCCTATAAAAATTATTATTCCTTGTTTATTTGCTATTGCGAAAGTTATATTATTAGCCCTAGTGTATGAGTGTCTATATAGCAGGCTGAATGATTGTTTTTGTATTATGCTGCATGAGTAGATTCAGCAGTTGGTATGTCTTTGACTGAATTTTGGTCGGTCGTTGACATAATATTAATTATGCATTTTTTTGGAAAACATTTCAAAGACTAACTAGGTTTGAGAAATATTATATGTATATGTTCGAACAGAAACAATTTGGTTGATGAATTAAAAGGAAAAAAAATGTTCAAGGATACAAGTTCCTAATTGGGAACAAAGAAAGACAAAAACAACCCAAAATTGAAAAGCCCAAAAAATACATGAGAATTAAGCATTTGAAGAACAACGAAATAAACATCTAAAAATGTATCCAACAAACACCAGAAAATGCTCAAAGTAACTGGAAGGAATCAGCAAAGAGGGCTGCTACCATCTCTAGGAAATAAACCTAGTTTCTCCTTTGAAGCTTTGAAATTCAACTGGAAGAAGAAGCTTTCTGCGAATTCGAAACTATTATGTGAAGCAGAAACCAAATGATACCCTATCCATGCTTAGGCCAAGAAGCTCTAAAGCTTTCATAAAACCATGATTAACCTTGATGCAACCAGTAAGCTTGTTAACACTTTAGCTTCAACGATTTCCCCTTTGTTACAGGTATCTGGTCCCATTTCCTCATTGTTTTCAGTTGGTCTATTTCTGTCCTGTTTGAAGGACAAGAAGAATATCTAGCTACAAATCAACAGGGTGCTTATTTGGATAATTTGGAATGAGCGGAATGCTAGAACTTTCAACTACAAGGAAGATCCATACCATCATCAAGCATATTATTTATTTTGGATTTCTATTAGTGTAAAACTAGATCAAATTTCAAGGATTAATCTTTAATTTATCTTATTTCCGATTGGAGAAGTTTTCTGTAACTTCATTTGGGTGGGATTAAACTTGAGCTTCAAGTATGGCAACCAAAACCTTCAAAACAGTAATGATCAAGAAGTTGAACAGGCTTAGACTTCCAAAGCCTCTCAAAGCATAAAACTAATGAGAAGTCTCTGAGAAACAAAACTTTAACAGCTGGCGCACCTTTACCCCTGAAAATCACTATATATGATGGACATGAAGGCAAATGAAAAAGCCCACACAATAATCAGGAAAAACCAAAAAGAAAGTATAGAAGCCTTGTCCTCTGCAATTTCTGCCCCAATGCAATTACTAGTTGGCTGAGCTGCCAAACAAGCTTAACCTTTTGAAAATGGTGGAATTTCCTGAAGCTGAAGATCACAATTATTGAGGAGCAGAGAATCATTTAAACCCAATGGAGAAGCATTCCCTGTATATTTTATCAGAATAGTCTTGTTGCTTGAAGAAACAACCATGTTTCCTCATTGAGTACCAAATGAAGAGGCTCATCAAAAGAATATTCCACAATGCTATCATCAAAAACATAAATCCGTGCCAATTCTACGCAAACTAACTTTGGATTCCAAATCAGAATCTTTGAACTTGTATTCAATATTTTGAAAGTAATAAAACATTAAAGGGGCAAAGACCAACTACAAGTAAGAGAAGAACTAATGGTCCATGAATATACACTCTTAACATTTTACCATGGAAGTTGCATGCATTTAATTGAATGGCGATTCTTTGGATAGAATGCTTGTTGAGATTAATGGTTCCATTTTTAGAAATCTCAACTACAGTAAACAAAGTTGATTCAGATGTTACTCCAAACATTGTTGCATTTAGGTTAGATGTATGGTTTTGACCAGATGAGATCAGTGGCAAACAAGGACACCACTGGACTGCTTGGACAAGGCACGGTGAATCCTCCAATAGTCGTGCAGTTCAAATATGGATGGTTGATAATGATGCAAGCTTATTTGGATGGTGCAAACGCACAGACAAATTGTTGTCATTCTTTGCGCTGGACCAGTTTGTGTACTACGGTTTTGAAAGGAGAAAACCCTTTTGCATGCTGGAGAGCACAGAGACACTGTGCATAGGAGAAAGAGCATTGGACAAAAAGATGCACCGAGGGTCTAACATCAAACAAAATAAGAACTTTTATTGAAGTGTTTATACTAGCATGCAATCCTGAATTGTGTTGGTAGGTTTTCTTTTCGCTCTAATACCAACTGGTGTGAAAAACAGACTAGAGTCAAAAAGGTAAGTTTGCATTTTGCAGAAACATAATTTTTCACACTATGTGAACAACTAATGCTTTAAATTTAACACCTATATTACTCATGAATAAAGGATATAAATAAACAAATAATTCGTATAACACCTCTCTCCCACTTTCCCTTTCCTCCCATACCAAACATTTTCGGTCACCATGACTTCCACCACTAAATCACTCCCTTGGAATCACTCCACCTGGTTCATGACCATTGATAGGAAAACCTTTGCCATTGCTTTTGATGATCATTACCATTGGAGCTGAGCTAAGATACTTGGCATACCAGAGTTTTGTTCCACTCTTTGCCCCTCAATTGGCTAGCCTCATCCTTCCACACCCTAGGCAATGACCCATGCACCTACAAATTCTTGAGAGAATTCAGATCCGAAATTGTCCTCTAGTTGGAAAAGCTTAATAACAAGAATGACTATTTTGTGGAATTAAATCAACTGCAGCACTTCGGCTGCTGCCAATGAAGCCTTATTCCACCAAAATCCAATAAGAAAAGTTGGTTTTCTTTTTATTGATTGATCTCTGATTACCTAACTCAGGCTCTTCGCCACTCTCCTCCCACACAAAGTACCACCCCCAAAGAAATACTTCAAAGATGGATTCCCTTGTTGAACCCCTCCCCACACGCGAACATTACAAGAACATCAAGGTTGGGAGAAATAGAAGGGGTTCATCATTCTCCAATGTTGCAATCAACATGACGATTGGCCTAGTATATGTCAATAAATCCTTGCCTCTTTAACCATGCATTGTACTATCCATCCTTTATTGGATAACAAGGCCATGCTTCACGTTTATGATCAACCTAAAAAAGTGAAGTTCTTTCTTTGGAAAATAGTGTATAAAACCATTAGCACAAGTGAAAATCTTCAACAAAGAATGCTCGACATGACTCTATTTCCAAATTGGTGTCCATTATACAAGAAAGAAAGCGAATTACAAACGCACTTATTTATGCAATGCACATACGCCCAAACTTTCTAGATAATGATTTTCAATATCTTCGGATGATATCTCACATTTTCTAAGGAGACAAAGGATTTATTATACGTGGCCTTGTCGTACCATCCTTCAAGAATGAAAAAGTCTTACTATGGAAAAAACTCATCATGACTTTCTTTTAGAATCTATGGAAAGAAAGAAATCAAAGAATATCTATGGAAAAAACAGAGTTATACAAAGCTCTTCGACAATTTTGTTTATCAAGCTATCTCTTGGTGTAAATTGTCTAATATTTTTACTTCCTAGAGTTATACCTCCCTCATTGTAAAGTGGATATTACATTCCTTTTGTGAATTTGAATCATCAATGAAATTATTTCTTACTAAAAAAATAAATGCTATGACTTCTTATGAAGGATGGATTGAACTGATGAATCTTCCAGTAAACATATGGACAAAACAAGTTTACATCAATCAATCCTTGTTGAACCTCCCCACACGCCACCATTACAAGAGCCTGAAGGTTGAGAGGAATGAAAGAGGTTCATCATTCTCCAATGTTGCAATCAACATGACGATCAACCTCGTACACGTCAATCAATCTTTGCCTCTCTAACCACGTGTTGTACTATCAATCCTTTTAAGAATAACAAGACCATGCTTCATGTTTATCATCAACAATTGCATGTTCTCTCTAAGGCAAATCATATCGGATTTTCATCGGTAAACAATGAATGTGTTTTCTCCCATTGATGACAATCACCCTTCAACAAGATGCTTTGACTTATGGAGGAGGATTGAAGTGATGAATCTTCCTCTAAACGTGTATGGACAAAACAAGATGATTGGGCAATTTCATTAGCTCTACTTCTGACCTTATTTATAGCTGAGCTTCTAGATGTTTGGACAATTGTTTATCTACCTCTTTTTGGCATGAATCCTGGCTCAGTTGTGGGATTCTCTCCTTGGTTTTCGCTCCCTTCGCTTAACTTCTCAACCTCAAATTACAGTCAGTGATGATTGGATAGTCTAAAAAAGTAACTGGAATCTATATATTTGTCGAAACGTAAATGATTTGGAAACAGCTGTATGGGCGGAATCCTAAGGACTCTTGGTCTTGGCCCCTTGATCCATCCAACACATTTGTTGGATTCCCTTGTTCCTCATTCGAGTAGTCTTTAAGGGTTGATTTAATCAGATTTTTATCCAAGGAAGAATATTAAAAGTTTTATTTGGAAGCTCAATCTTGGAGCTATTAATACAGCTGATCACCTTCAGTGGCGTATGCCTTCTATAAATCTCTCCCCTTCTTGGTGTATTATGTGTATTTCTCACTCTCAATATCTGGGTCACCTTTTCTACATTGCTCTTTTTCTTCCACTTATTGAGCCATCATCCTACAAGCTTTTGGTTGGTCTTTGGCTTTACCAGATTGCATCTGTGATTTCGTTGCCTCCACTTTTCAGAGATTCCTTTACTTCTTTTTAGAGATTCCTTTACTTCTTTTTGTAGGTTATTGGATTTGTTTATTTTTCATTCTTTGTATTTGTGTCAGCGTTAATTTTTCTAATTTGAAAGTCCTCATGTAACACCCCTAATTTTCTTAACCTAATTAGTGATGTCATCCATACATGCATAAATCTTTAAGTGGAAAATTCAACATAAATAGTCTTGAAAACATCAGTCTTACATGAAGGTTCAAAATCCAAACTAATCATAACTCCGAAACGAAGACATTCAGTAACTGAATCCTGAAAATTTAGATAAATTAAATATTCAATGATCTAACTTAAAACTCAAATAAAAGTATAAACGGCTAGAAGAGTTTAAAACATTTAAAACGTTTTCCATTAAGGCAATAATTGTCTCGCCAAAAATCACACATATTTTCTGCTGAGAATAAATGTTACAGAATAATATCCTGTCATTTTTGGAAATAAAAATAAAATCTTAAAAATTAAGTTACGTGCATCTCATGGAATTTTAGAGGATATGTTACGTGCTTGTGTGCTTGACTTCGTTGGTAGTTGGGACTTGAAGTTGCATCTCATGAAATTTGCCTATAATAATAGTTATTAGACGACAATTGGCGTGGCGCCGTACGAGGTGTTATATGGAAAATGGTGCAGAACACCATTGTGCTGGGATGAGGTAGGGGAATGTGAGTTGGTGGGTTCCGAATTGGTCCAAGTTACAAATGAGGCAGTGCAAAAGATCAGAGAAAGGATGCGCACTGCTCAGAGTAGACAGAAAAGCTATGCGGACTCAAGACGGAGGAATCTAGAGTTTGAAGTGGCGACATGGTATTCTTGAAAGTGGCCCCGATGAAAGGTGTCTTAAGGTTTGGACGCAAAGGCAAGCTGAGTCCTTGATTTATAGGACCTTTTGAAATTTTGGAGAGGATTGGACCTGTTGCGTATAGGTTAGCCCTACCACCATCACTCTCAACGATACACAATGTGATAGATTATGAGGCTCTGGACGTGGCAGAAGACTTAAGCTATGAGGAAAAACCGTTGGGAATTTTGGCTTGCAGGGTAAAGACTCTACGCACTAGAAACATTGCATTTGTCAAGGTGTGGTGGAGAAACCAACCAATGGAGGAGGCTACATGGGAACGAGAAAATGAGATAAGAGAGAAGTATCCAGAGTTTTCTTGTTACAGAGACTTCGAGGAAGAAAGTCTTTTTTAGGAGGGGATAATGTAACGATTCAGATTTTTCTTGATTTTTAAGATTTTATTTTTATTTAAAAAATGACTGGATATTATGCTGTAACATTTATTCATGCCAAAAAATATGTGTGATTTCAGGTGAGACAATTATTGCCTTAATGAAAAATGTTCTAGACTCTTTTATATCTCTAAGAACAACCTTTCAGCAGCCTTGAAACAATTTTCTTCTGAATTTGGCCGAGTGTGTTTGAGAGAACGGAAAATCGAGAGCTTTTAAAAGGAAATCGAGTGGGTTGGTTCACTGGGTATTTTGAGGGTTTCTTGGAACGTTAGGGTTTCTATTTTGGTGGAAGAATCGAGTGGAAGTAAGGAAGTGTCTAGGTTTTCGGCCCTTCCGAAGCCGTTTTTTCCCTTGTTTTTGCCTTTGAGGTCAGTATGACTCTTAATAGTAAAAAAAAAGATTGTGTTAGGGGTTCACCTTGATAATTAACGGTTTAACTAGGATACAGTATGAAAAGTTCCTAAATATATTATGTGGTTCTTATAGGACGTAGTTAGCCGTTGGAATTAGCTTGTTATGAGTAACTTCGGCCAATCGTAAAGTCACTTGTCTTGATGGCCTTGGCCGAAGTTACTCACAACAAGCTAATTCCAACGGCTAACTACATCCTATAAGAACCACATAATATATTTAGGAACTTTTCATAACGTATCCTAGTTAAACCGGTAATTATCAAGGTGAACCCCTAACACAATCTTTTTTATACTATTAAGGGTCATACTGACCTCAAAGGCAGTTAGCTTGTTATGTGTTGTGTGATGGTGCGTGCCCTATGGCCCCTGCATGCACCATATTTTATGTGATATGACTATGTGATGCATGGATTATGTTGACGGTTGATGTTATAAAAAGTTATGGTTGATATGATAATATTATATGCCATGATAGTGATGAATGTTGCCATGCGTACACGTAGCATGATTGAGTTAGGTTATGAAATGCTTATGGAATTGGAACGTATTTTCATATTACATAATATGCCATGTAATGTAAGTTATGAGATCTCATGCATATTTGTATGTCATTTGCATCAGGATACTTTCTCTTTATGTCATAAAAGTATGAATTTGATATTTATGTTCGACATGATATCATGCGGGCCTTTTCTGTTTTGTGGTGTCCGTTGACGTGTAATATGGTGTGCCCGACCAAGCTAGGACTAGGGGGTATGTATACGAGCTTGCCTGGTGGGTCTATGTGCACGTACATGGGCCGTGTGTGGAGAAGTACCACACATCCAACACTACCCAGAAAAGAAAAGTACCTAAGGCCATGTAAAGTTTACGTAAGTTAGGTCCTACTCATTTGTTGCATGCCCCAACAGTGGGGTGACTTACTAAGTATTTCATAAAATACTCAAGCCACGTGTTACCTACATTTTTCAAGTAAAGGCAAGACACTAATGTACGGTTGACGGTGGAGCTGAGGTTACCATGGAAGTTAAGGAGATGGCATAGCTAGCCGTTTATGTTTTTATTTGGGTTTTAAGTTAAATCGTTGAATATTTATTTTATCTAAATTTTCAGGATTCAGTTATTAAATGTCTTCGTTTCGGAGTTATATTTAGTTATGATTTTGAACCTTTATTTAAGACGGGTGTTGTTTTCAAGACTATTTATGTTGAATTTTCTGCTTAAAGATTTATGCATGTATGGATGACGTCACTAATTAGGTTAAAAAAATTTGGGGCGTTACACGTCATGTAATCCTCCCGTTGGTGTTTGGAGCTGTTGCTCCTTTTATTTCGATCATAATAATAATAAAATAAAATAAAATCATATACTGTTCAGAAGCCTTCATTGCTTTGCTGTTTGTCTGTAATTTTGGAGGGAGTCACAGTGCTGGCATTTAACCTGCTTTGTCAAGGCTGTGAATGTTAGGAATGGTTGTGGAGAATCTTGAGGGATTTGTTTACAAAGCAGAACAATAGCTGAAGTCAATGCAGAATATAGGGGTGGTCTTTCTAATTGTGCTGCTTAGGCAATGTAGGGAAACCTTTTGCAGCCATGATTTATAGCTATTATCTGCTTTTTCCATATGCCTTATTGCTGTTTATTTTATTTTTTTTGTTTTTTTGTTTTCTTCTTGTTTTGTTCATTAAATATGCGAGGGAAAATTTCCTAGGGGGTTATACCGGTGCCTTGTGCCCTCTTTTCTTTATTTTCTCTTCCTTTTGCTTACTGGATACAAGTCATGAAATAGGAGTACCGATAGTTTCTAGTGTCTTAAGTGGAGAAGAGGAGATATATGTGCTCAAATTTCAATCCAGATCAATAGTAAAACCACGGGTTTGAATTAATTTACAATTTGTATACAAGTCATAAGTCTCAGTATTTTCACTGCATTTTTGTTGGTGAGATCATGTTAATAGAGAATAAATAGATAACATGCTTTTGAATTATAATATGATTTCTGCAGGTAGCTGTCGATATGGTGTGGATCTTGCAAAGCAGCTGGTAACCGGTTTGTTGAGTGTTCTTGCAAGCTGTGAAAGCGTCAGAATATCCTTCTCAGACAGAACTCCTGAGAAGGTAGTGTTGAGAAAAAAAATCTTAGTAATATCTATCTGTGACCTTTCTTATACGTTATTCTTTTCTTGACAGGTATATAACGTTGTTGTGAAAGAACTTGGGGATAATCCAAAAGTTTACATCTGGGACGGACAAGGTTCGTTTTCTATGAAATGAGTTTATTGAGTTCGTCTGTAGTTTTGAAGTATTGTTGCCATTTTTACAAATTTAATTCAGTAATTCAATATTAATATTCGTCAGAGCCAAATCCACACTTGGGCCACTTAGCTTGGGCAGATGCATTTGTTGTAACCGCAGATTCGGTTAGCATGATAAGTGAGGTTTGCAGTACTGGGTATGATTGTCCATCTCACGATTAATCCCCCTGCTTTAATGTTTTCAGTGTTTTAGTCACAGTTTATACCCTGGTGTGTTGATAATTCCTGTGTTATTATTGCAGGAAGCCTGTCTATGTCATTGGAACTGAGCGCTGTAAGTGGAAGTATTCAGCGTTCCACAAATCTTTGAAGGAGAGAGGAGTCATCCGCCCATTCACAGGCACTGAAGATGTAAGTGTTTTCTAATTCCATGATGCGTTCCATCGAGAGACATGTAACCACGCTGATACATGTCTCTCGATGTTTTTTCCTATCTTTTAATGCGTGATCTAATAACTCATGTTACAAAATTAAATGCTAACATGTAGAACGAAACAAATATTCTGAAATTATCTCATCTTAGTGTTCTTGTGTTAGATCCCACATTGGTTGGGAGGAGAACGAAACACCCTTTATAAGAGTGTGGAAACCTCTCCCTAGCAGATGCATTTTAAATATCTTGAGGGAAAGCCCAAAAGGGAAAGCCCAAAGAGGATAATATCTGCTAGCGGTAGGCTTGGGCCGTGACAAATGGTATCAGAGCTAGGCACTGGACGATGTGCCAGCGAGGAGGCTGTTCTCCGAAGGGGGGAGACACGAGGCGGTGTGCCGGCAAAGACGCTGGGCCTCGAAGGGGGTGGATTTGGTGGGGGTCCCACATCGATTGGAGAAAGGAACGAGTGCCAGCGAGGACGCTGGGCCCTGAAGGGGGGTGGATTGTTAGATCCCACATCAGTTGGGGAAGAGAACGAAATACCTTTTATAAGAGTGGAAACCTCTCCCTAGTAGACGCGTTTTAAAAATCTTGAGGGGAAACCCAAAAGGGAAAGTCCAAAGAGAACAGTATCTACTAGCGGTGGACCTGGACCGTTACATCTTGTTTGTCTCTGCTGAAGGGCAATTCTCCTTAAGTTTGTCTTGTGGTACTATTACAGACACCTTCTTAATTGAATTGAGTAGTTGTCAGCCGTATAATATTACTTCATTACTACTAGTCTTGTTATATATAAGATCATAGTACGAAGTATGCTCTGTTCTATATAATATTGTTGACGGCTTATTCATTTCTAAATGGTGTACCGATATATCTTTCGGGGGGACTACTTACGATTTTTTTAAGAAACTATTTACAGTTAAGACATTCGAGGAATATATTGATGCTGATGTTGATAACCTAGATTTATGGATATGGAACACTTATGTTTTAAGATACATAATAGGAATCAAAAGGTCTTCTATAATTGGTGGAGTTATTAAATAAAACTTTTAAGTCTTGCTTAATTATTAAATTCACAATCTGTTGTTCTTATTACATTTATTTTTAAACGTAAGTAATCACTTATTTCAATAACAGTGTTAATCTTAATCTTAAAAGCACATTCTTGGAACATAAAGTTAGCATGGGAAAACAAGTTTATATGTATGTATATTTTTTGAGAAAACTAGGGAGAAGTAGCAGATGTTAAAAGACGTGATGTCATTGACAAACATGTTGACATCTCATTGACTTCCCCAACAATCTGTTATACTGTTCACTAGGAACTTGCCTAGAATCCACAAGACCCAAGCCTCAATGCCTTTGCATCAGCTTAGATCAACACTGGGTGAAGGTTCTAACGGATTCACCTTTGGTCAAAGACCAAGAGATAAGAGAACTAGTTCATATCTCAAAGTTAAAACACGTCCAAGTTTGGTGACCAATCAATCTAATGCTTCAAAACATGCAACCTAAACACAGGGCTTGCATGGGGGTAGAATGGAGCCTCCAATGGGTTTATATAGCCAAGGAGTTGAACAACTTTCATTTATTCTTCATACGACAAACAAGTAAGGTTTGACATAAGGTATTGTGACAGTCTTGGCTTAGTTTCTTCCGTATCTCTCTCGCTCTTGGGACACACTGTCAGTTTCCTTTTGTCAGCAAAAGGTCCCATTCGACCCAGAATTGTATAGTCTTCCCGGCTCTGGCTATAGCTCAACAACAGCCTTGACAAGAGGGTCTTTTTGTAAGTGTTCTCATATGATATATCACATTGACCCATTGATCTTACTAGAATGAACGTGGGTTAACATGCACAGAATCACATGTTTACCCTTAGTAGTGGATATGCAGGCTATAGACATCATGCCTTGGACAAGCATGACCATGACACTGGATGACCTCGTGAGCCAACATACGCATGCAACCTGGTGGACCTTGTGTGCACGCAGGGCTAGGCTAAGCGCTTGGTAGATATGGTGTGTGTAGATGGGCTTGTTGGCCAAGCTAATGGGCGCCACACAAGCATGGGTCGATGGGCCATAGGTTAGGCAGTTGGGCTAGTTCTTTGGAAGTTCTTCTTGAGCTCAACTTGGGCTGCCACCTAATTAGATTCCCACGTGTTTGATCAAGACCATGATCACATTAATCTGTTTCCTGTTTTTTAATTGACAATAATAGATGAACATAGAAATAAATGAAGAAATCTCATTAAAACCCCCTTGATTTCAGAACTATTTTTAATACACGAACGTGACTCTACTTTAATTATATTATCCAGTACTTGGGAAAATTTATCATCAGATTCTATTTGCATTTACACGTTTTAGTGTTCCAGATTCCCTATTTTTGAGGCAGGTCAGTCTTGTTATCATACCCCGGATAGAACTTTGATTTTCTTCAGTTTGAGTCGGTCTTTTTCCTTGGAGGCTTGGACCATGGAAAGCTTAAGATGCTTCAGTATCAGTTCCTAATTTTGTCATCTTTTTTAGATTCCTTTCAGTGTACTGCTAGAAAGCGAGGGATACTTTTGTCTAGCATATTTTTGTAAGAGCTCAAGCTCACCGTTAGTAGATATTGTCTGCTTCAGTCCGTTACGTATCGCCGTTAGTCTCACGGTTTTTAAACGCGTCTACAAAGGGGAAGTTTATACAACCTTATAAGAAATGCTTTGTTGCTTTCCCTCTTCAATCAACATGGGATCTCACAAATTATCTTTTTCAATATAATTGATAGCGTTTGGCCATTCTATTCTGCTTGACAAAGTTGAAAAGAATATCTTGATGTGGTGCCTTTTCTGTTTGATGCGAAATAAAAGTTAACTAGTTAAGGCAATGCTTCACATTCCTTGTGATGTTGACTAATGGATATTTGATGCCCCTTTTATATATTCTGTTTAACATTTCAGATCTCGGAGAGCTGGAGTTACCCTCCGCTGAACGACACAGCAGAAGCAGCTACTCGGGTGCGGGAGGAATTAGCCAAGCGCGGCTGGAGAATACGACCATAGGGGAAGTCTGTGGATATGTTTTACACACACTGCTTCATTTGTCATAAAAAATGGTACCCCTTCACCTCTTGAGCATTACTTTTGTACAATGGTGCACATAGGAACAGAGAATTACAAGCATTAATGGTTTCAAATCCAGTTCTTGGACAAAACTTGAGATAAGAATAATGAAGCTAGCAGCTGTTTGTTAGTGCGGCTTGTATCATATGCAGAGAGGCTTTGGCTTGCTCTTTTCCACAGATCTGGCAGCTCTTAGATTTTGATCAGGAAAATTTTTATACCGTACGGTGAAATATGTGTTTATTGTAAATTGGGTTAATTGTATTTGATTAAAATAAGCAGAATGTTAAATGGTTTTGTTAGTAGCTACCATTGGAACAAACAAATATGAAACTGACCTTGGTTTAGTGGAAATTAGTTACATCTGTGTATAAATCATTGGTTTAGTGGCCCATGCTTTACTAATTGAGCTTTGCAGCCATTATCATCTCTCAGATAAGCTTACACTCGTATTGATTTATGTAGCTATAAGCTTACACTCATTCGTATTGGTTCATGTAGCTATGACTCGAATTTTTGCTCTTCTAATGTAAAAGTTGGCCAGTCATCAATCAATGCCTAAGAATTCGCTTGACATCTCGGTGGAGGGATTGAATACTGCATCCGATTGAAGTTCCATTTTAGTTTCTTCTAACATAAAGACGAGCATTTTTAGGTGGGTCGCTTTGTGCAAGACATTGCTTATGACCAATAGGTCACAAGATAGATACACGATTGACTTTGCATTCTCTTCCTTCGGTCCTTTGTCTATTGGCTTTGCTACAAGCTATCTTGATTTGTCTTTGGTATTGATTTGTTATGCTCAAAACCTCCAACAAGCCCATCAGTCTCTTGTCGCCTAAAACTCGGCCAATTAACCACACATTTAATTTAAAATAAGAAGTTGGAAATAATATTGTCTATTAACATAAAAAAATGAAATAAACCACCTATCAACTATTAAATGTAAATTAATGCATGTTATTGCCCTATCGACTATTAAAGAGTAGCATGTGACTTAAGTATTTTAAGAACAAGTAATTTAAGAAATACTGAGGAAGTTACCTAGTTGAGGTTAACCCTAAGTTACCCAGTTGAGGTTAACCCTAAGTTACCCAGTTGAGGTTAACAATGCAATCATATGCATAACATGATTGGGACCTATCCTCTAAAACCTTGACATGACCTTGGGCTTTTTCCAGTTATGGGCAGGGTTGAATGAGTGGTACTTCCTCACACACGATCCACTCACGCGCATATGGATCCACCAGGAGGGCTCATAGACGTACTCCTAACCTGACATGTCGTTAAACGACATAGAAAAGGAAAGGCCCCATGATATCATGACGAACATGAATATCGAAGTTACGTGTCCGTACTAACATAACATAATGGAGAATTATCCCGATCCACATGACATATATACATGCATGAGATCCCCATGATTTACATTCATAGCATAACAATAACATTATTCCCTTTTTCCTTTCATCCATGACATATTACATATATGCATGATGTATACATGACAATCATCACAAACTTTACATGACATACATAGCATTTCATTTTATTCATAACATAGTGTAATGGATATCACATGCATACATAGCATAGCATCACATGTCAATGCATAGAGCACATTTTCCAATATAAGTCCTAAAACTATTAAAAAAAATGAGTAAATGAGAGTCTTGTTGACCTCAATTACTAATAAGTTCAAAAATGGCTTTAGAATGGTCGAAAATTTAGGAAACGGTATAAAGTTTGTATACCAACTTGTCTAAGCGACAAGTCAAACCGAAATTGAGCTGTCAAGCCGAGCCGATTGCCTACTCCAAAATGAGTCGATTGCATCGCCAAACCGAGTCGATGCTGGAATGAGGCGGGTCGTCACTCGGGTCAAAGCGCGGGTGTACAGGTTGTGTCGAGCGTGACTGGGCCGACATGTTTTGGAGTGTACTTGCCGGCTGGACTACGTGTGTTAGGTCGTGCACTTCTGGGCCGCAGACGCTGCAGCGGCGTGGGTCACCCATAATAGAAGACTGAAAATGAAACCTTTCGTATTCCTTCGTCTCCAACGATGCTTTCCACATTTATCCCACTATCAACGGTGACCTCGATACTCCTGCATAGCCAAGGGAACTGAAAACCTAGTTAATCCACCAAGAGAACTGGGTGGAGCTGACAGACCTAAGCACACTCGCTCAGAAGCAAGAGCACATGCATCCACTAGTAGGGATGTCGGGAAGTCCGACACAGTGATGATAGGTACACTATAAGTCTTGGGATACTATGCTTTAATTTTTTTTTTTTATTGAGACTATGCGTTTCTTTATATATGGCTCATTTGTTTGTGTATAGGGTTTGAACTAGAATACGTGTTGCATGTATTAACTCTCCGCACTCCTACGGGGTAGACCTAGTTGCTAAGAATAAAGTAAAAGATGGACATGTAATAGTAGCAGGACAAACATTGAACGTAAACCTAATAGTTGTCAGTACCACAGACTTCGACGTAATACTAAGGATGAATTGGTTAGATGAGAACCATGCCAATATACATTGTTACAAGAAGGTGGTATTCTCACCACTGTCTAGATCCAGTTTGAAATTCACGGTACATGCATTGGAGTTGCCCCTAAAGTAGTCTCGATAATGAAGGCCAAGAGACTGACCCAACAAGAAGGTTGGGCCATATTAGCAAATGCAATAGATGTAAAAGGAAAATAGAAGACCTTGGACATGGTATCCATAGTGAACGAATTTTTAGATGTCTTCTCGAAAGATCTACTAGGGATACCTCCTTTTTAAACTGTGGATTTTGGTATAGAACTTGAGCCGGGTACTGGACCTATTTCTAAAGCCCCTTACCGTAGGGTGCCAGTGGAATTAAAAGAAGTCAATGCGTAATTACAAGATCTACTGAACAACAGCTTCATCTGCCCTAGCATATCTCCTTGAGGTCTGTTGGTGCTATTTGTTAAAAAGAAGGATGGCTCGATGCATCTATGCATCGACTATTGAGAGTTAAATAAGAGGAAGGTAAAGAATACGTACCCACTCCCTCGTGTTGAAGATTTTTTCGACCCACTCAGTGAAACGACAGTATTCTCCAAGATAGATCTCCACTTAGAATATCACTAGATTAAGATTAAAGAAGAGGATGTGCTAAAGACAAAATTCATAACGAGGTACGACCACTACGAGTTTGTAGTGATGTCGTTTGGTCTCACTAATACCCCAAAGGTATTCATAGAGCGAATGAACCGAGTATTCAAAAAGTGTCACGACACATATGTCATCATATTTATAGTCAACATCCTAGTATACTCAAAGACAGATCAAAAACACCAACTACACCTTCGAAAGTCCTAACCACTTTGAGAAAGAACAAGTTGTACGCTAAATTCTCCAAGTGCGAATTTTTACTGCAACAAGTATCGTTTTTAGGACATGTGGTGTCGAAAGTTAGAATTTCAGTAGATTCCACTAAGGTTGAAGCGGTCACACATGGTATTCTTTCGGCTGTGTGTGTATATTACAAAAGAAAGAAAAGTTTGAGTTGGTGACGGAGAGCATGAGAGTGGAGAGGCTTTAAGGGGGTGGTGGGGCGGTTATCCTCGCGTTGATCCTTCGCAAATATTGAATGTACATATATATACATATATATATTTCTCAAATTGTTACATATTACTCCTAAAAAGGACTTTCGTCCTTGAAAGTTCCTGCGTTCAGAAATAGCTTTGGGTATTTCTCCCTCGTTCCCACATGACTTCCTCTATGGGCTGATTTCTCCACAACACCTTGACAAAAGCAATGTCTATGTTGGGTAGAGTTTTTATTTCTAGCGCCTCCTCATGGGTTTTTCTTCATATCTTCAATCCTCTGCCACTTCCAGGGGCTCATAATCTATCACATGCATGGGATTGGTCAGATACTTACAGAATATGGACATATGAAACACGTTATGTACAGCTGAGAAGGGGTGGTGGTAGGGCTAATCTATACGCAATGGGTCTAATCCGATCTAAGACCTCAAAGGTCCTATAAAGGGTGGATTGAATTTTTCTTTGCGTCCAAATCTTAGAACACCTTTCATTGGGGTCACCTTCAAGAATACCATGTCGTTCACTTCAAATTCTAGACTCCTTCACCTTCAATAATAACTTTTCTATCTACTTTGAGTAGTGCACATTCTTGTCTTGATCTTTTTCGCCGTCTCATTGGTAACTTGGACTAATTTGGGACCCAAAAGTTCATGTTCCACTAATTCATCCTAGCACAATGTTGTCCTACACCATTTTCCATACAACGCCTTGTAGGGTGCCATGCCAATAGTTGCCTAGAAGTTGTTGTTGTAGGTGAATTCCATTAAATGTAATTTTGAGGTCCCAGCTATCCGTGAAGTCTTAACACACAGGCACGTAGCATATCTTCTAAGATTTGGCTCAAACGTTCTTTCTGATCATCTGTATGTGGGTGAAGTGTTGTATGAAATCTAGGCGAGTACCAACACCTTTTGAAGTTCTCACCAAATACCGACATAAAGTGTGGGTCTCAATCTGATATAATTGACACAAGAACTCCATGCAGTCTAACAATTTTTTTCATGTATAGTTGTGCCTAATTATCTATTGTGTAGGAAATATGCTGACTTTGTTAGCTAATCGACAATTACCCATATTAACTGTGTCACCCTTCAATGTTCTCTCATTTTCATTCTGGCACACTAAGGGGTTGCAACAATATTGCGGTTCTCTGTTTAGGTGCTTTGACTTGCTAGCATATTAAACATTTATTCACAAATTCTGCTATGTCTTTCTTTATACCATGCCACAAAAACTGTTGCTTTAAGTCTTGATACATCTTGGTATTACTAGGGTGCATCGTGAACGTGGAATTATGCGCCTCGCTCAATATCTCATTTTTCAGTTCTACCACTAGTACACACAAACGCCCTTGGTACAGTAATCCACCATCAGATGACTTGGAGTAACCGTCAACTGGTCCTGTCGCCAACTCATTAAGACTTTTTCCTAACCCAGGGTCTCTTATTTGATCATCAATGATTCTTTATCAGAGTGTGGGTTAGACTGTCAATTGGGCTAGCTATGCTCTAATTCCTTCCATTTCCATCGGTATCCCAGCTTGTTCAAAATTTGTCTATACTTGGGGCTTTCTCGTGATTAATGCTGACGAATGGGTTGTCTTTCTACTTAGGGCATCGAAGACAACATTGGCCTTCTCAGGGTGGTACTAGATGTCGGTGTCATAGTTTTTTACTAATTCAAACCACCTACGTTGTCTCATATTCAGTTCCTTCAAAGTGAAGAAATACTACAGGCTTTTGTGGTTGATGTAGATCTGAGTTTTTTTCCCATATAAGTAATGTCACCAAATCTTTAACCCAAAGACTACTGCCA